CACCCCACTACCCATGGGTGAGGGTGGCACATGACTCCCCGGCGAGAGGGACCCCCGCCCATCTCAGAGAACAGCCAGCGAACAACAACCCGACCCGGATGACCCCAGGCACCACCCGATGGTAGACCAGGGATTAGGGGAAAGGGAAAGCCAACAACAACCCGGCCAGGGAGACCTACACCACCCCGGCAGGGGAGACCTCCGCCGCCCTGCAGAGGTAGTCCCACAACAACATCCCGACCAGGTCAACCACCACCAACCAGACGGGGTAGACCAACGCCAGTCCAACCGAGGGGACCAACGCCACCCCTGCGAGGTCGGACAGCACAATGCAAGCCAGCACCACCCGCGACCGGCGGACCGGACCCGAGGGCACCGAGCGGAACCACCACCCAACCAGCAGCAGGCCGAACCGCGACCGAACCGCAGCGCCCAGGAGACCAGGGAAGAGCAAGCGACAGACTTACCGAGACTCAGACGCTCTTCCCGGGTCAGAACCGAGCAATCAAGACGAGGCGATAGATCCACAGGCCAGGAGGAAGACCAACAGAACCAGCCACCCAAGGTCTGCGGTCCGGCCAGTGGCGCTGGGGGTGACCCCGCTCACTCGACAGCCGAACCGAGCCCGGTTCCGGAGAGGGAACCAGGAGACGAAGGAGCCCCGTCCATCGAGGCCGGAGACGGAGAAGAAGTGAGACTGTGCAGGTCAGCTAGGGTGCCGAGGCGTCCTACGTACCTGCGCAATTACGTGACTTTTGTGAACGAGATTGACAGTTCGGACTAAGGGGGGAGGAGTGTTATGTCCTTATAAGGACATCCGCCCGGATTGGCTGCGAGCCATCGGGCGGGAGCCTGATCTAACAGATCCAATTCAAGTCCTGGTGCAGTTTGGAGCATTGGAGTGAGGAAAACAATATTATGATTTAGAAAAAGGAATGGATGAGTTTGGCTGAGCAGCAGGACACCGGTGCCACACCGACGTAGCCCTGATTGCGTCCTCACAGTCCATTGGTTCACAAATGAACTCTCTGGGCTTGGTTCCTCTGACACTCAAAGCCACAAAAAGCTAAGGTTAACACTACCCCGGCGGATGCTTTGTGCAAACGCAGCTGCCTTGATTGAATGGGTAACAGAAAAACTCATCACAAGTTACCTTGACTAAACAGTATTCCCCATGCTTTCTTTAAACCAGTGTTTTTTAACCTTGACGAATTTAATACCACTCTATAAAGCCTTAGTAAGACCACGCCTAGAGTACTGCATCCAGTTTTGGTCCCCACACTATAAAAAAAGATGTTGAGACTCTAGAAAAAGTGCAGAGAAGAGCAACCAGGATGATGAGGGGACTGGAGGCTAAAACATATGATGAATGATTGCAGGAACTGGGCATGGCTACTCTAGTGAAGAGAAGGACCAGGGGAGACAGGATAGCAGTCTTCCAATATTTGAGGGGCTGCCAGAGAGAGGAAGGGGTCGAGCTATTTTCTAAAGCATCCGAAGGCAAGACAAGGAATAGTGGATGGAAGTTGATCAAGGAGAGATTCAACCTGGAAATAAAGAGAAATTTTCTGACAGTGAGACCAATGAAACAATGGAACAGAAGTTGGATTCAGAAGTTGTGGGAGCTTCATCACTGGAGGCTTTCAAGAAGCGACTGGACTGCCATCTGTCAGAAATGGTGTAGGGTCTCCTGCTTGGGTGGGGGGTTGGACTAGATGACCTATAAGGTCCCTTCCAACTCTGTTAATCTGTATCAGAAACATCTTAAAGTTGCCAAAGTTAACTCTAAACTGCTTAGAGAGGGCTGCAAAGCATTATGAAGCAGTATTTAAGCCTAAGCACTATTGCTGTTGCAGCGCTCACTGCCCTCGACATCCACAGGGGACTCACCAGGGTGGGATGGCCCACCCAACTCCCCTGGCCTGCACCCCTTCTTTTGGCCCAGAGACTCTGCAAGATTGTCTTTCCTGCTTGACGCCGCAGCTTCCTTGACTGCACCAGAACAGACGCCAACATGATCTCGGGCTGCCTCTGATCCTGTGACATGAGCCAGCCGGTGCTGAGAGCTGATTTCTCTGTGTGTCTTTTGCATGATCAGCCTGAGCGTTTCCAGCCAGCCTGATATTCCGACAGCCAAGCAGCTGTTTCGGGTGCCGTATCATATTCCGAGAAGCGACACGCTTGGTGGGTGACAGCCCAAAGAAAAGACTTATCCCCTGTCCCTCCCTCCCTCCCTCCCCCCTTAGCCCCCCCACCCCACATGTGCAGCAACAGGCCAGTTTGTAAAAATGTCAATTTTACACCTAATTTAAGAAGAGCTAGCAGGCCTAAGCATGTTTCCCAATGCAATCCCCATCCATCCTGAAAACCCAAGGAGCCATTTCCTTTTACCTTTGCTTTGACTCCAGGCATTTAACCCCTCCTACTCCTGAAATAGGAACGCGGTGGCTCAGTGGCTAAGATGCTGAGCTTGTCAATTAAGTCGAAAGGTCAGCAGTTCGGCGGTTCGAATCCCTAGTGCCACGTAACGGGGTGAGCTCCCATTACTTGTCCCAGCTTCTGCCAACCTAGCAGTTCGATAGAATAGAATAGAATTTTTTATTGGCCAAGTATGATTGGACAAACAAGGAATTTGTCTTGGTGCATACGCTCTCAGTGTACATAAAACAAAAGATAAGTTCATCAAGAATCATAAGGTACAACACTTAATGATAGTCATGGGGTACAAATAAGCAATCAGGAAACAATATCAATATAAAGTAGAGTGGAGTGGAGTGGAGTGGAGTGGAATGGAATGGAATGGAATGGAATGGAATGGAATGGAATGGAATTCTTTATTGGCCAAGTGTGATTGGACACACAAGGAATTTGTCTTTGATGCATACGCTCTCAGTGTACATAAAAGAAAAGATAAGTTCATCAAGAATCATAAGGTACAACACTTAATAATAGTCATAGGGTAGAAATAAGCAATCAGGAAACAGTATCAATATAAATTGTAAGGATACAAGCAACAAAATTATAGTCATACTGTTAGATCAGGAGCAGGAAATGAAGACGTGACCAGCTCGATACATTAAGTAACTTTATTAGCTACAAAGTATAAGACAAGACTGCTGGCGCGCTGCCGGAGCTCTCCTTATATTCGCTCCCGGCAGACGCACCGCCCCTTGACAGGGATTCAAATCTCCCGCCCGATGGCTAGCAGCCAATCAGGGCGGATGTCCTTATAAGGACATAACACTCCTCCCCCCTTAGTCCGGGAACTGGCAAACTTCGTTAACAAAAGTCATGTAGTCGCGCAGGTACGTAGGACGCCTCGGCACCCTAGCTGACCTGCGTAGTCCCACTTGTTCTCCGTCTCTGGCCTGGACGGACGGGGTTCTTTCGTCTCCTGGTTCCCTCCCTGGAACCGGGCTTGGTTCGGCTGTCGAGTGAGCGGGGTCACCCTCAGCGCCTCCGGCCGGACCGCAGACCTTGGATGGCTGGTTCTGGTGGTCTTCCTCCTGGCCTGTGGATCTATCGCCTCGTCTCGGTTGCTCGGTTCCGACCCAGGAAGAGCGTCTGAGTCTCGGTAAGTCTGTCGCTTGCTCCTCCCTGGTCTCCCGGGTGCTGCGGTTCGGTTGCGGTCCGGCTTGCTGCCGTCTGGGTGGTGGTTCCGCTCGGTGCCCTCGGGTTCGGTCCGCCGGCTGCGGGTTGTGCTGGCTTGCATTGTGCTGTTCGACCTCGCAGGGGTGGCGTCAGTCTACTCGGTTGGGCTGGCGTTGGTCTACCCGGTCTGGTTGGCGGTGGTCGACCTGGTCGGGGTGTTGTTGCGGGCCTACCTCTGCGGGGCGGCGGAGGTCTCCCCTGCCGGGGTGGTGCAGGTCTCCCTGGCCGGGTTGTTGTCGGCTTTCCCTTCCCCCTAGTCCCTGGTCTACCGCCGGTTGGTGCCTGGGGTCATCCAGGTCGGGTTGTTGTTTCCTGGCTGTCTCCTAAGATGGGCGGGGGTCCCCCTCGCCGGGGAGTCGTGTGCCACCCTCGCCCATGGGTAGAGGGGTGCCCGTCTTGGCTGGGTCCCGGTCTACTCGCCTGGAACTGCGGTCTCCCTGGCCGGGCTGGCGTAGGCTGCCGTCACTGGTGGGGTGCGCTGCTCCTTCTCCGGGCAGGTCCCGGTCTACTTGTGGGCTGGGTTGGTGGTCCCTGGCCCTGTTGTGCCGTGTGCCTACCTGGCTGGGTTGGTGTTGGCATCCCCCATGTGGCTGGCCCCGGTCTCCCTCGCTGGACTGCCGACGTGACAGTACCTGGTAGTGTGCTGGGCCGACCTCGTTGGGATGGCGTTGCTCTGCCTCGCAGGGGTGTGGCAGGCCTACCTCGTCGGGGTGTTGTAGGCCTACCTCGCCGGAGTGTTGTAGGCCTACCTCGACTGGGTGTGGTAGGTCTACCTCGCCGGGGTGTTGGAGGCCTACCTCGTCTGGGTGTTGTAGGCCTCCCTCGTCAGGCTGGTTTTCGTGTGTTCCCCCCCACCTTTTCCGGAGTTGGTCGATGTGACGTCTGCAGACCTGTCCATCTTCCAACTCGACGGTGTAGGATTTGGGGCCGGTTGTGCTGGCAATCTTCCCCTTCAGCCACTTAGGAGAGCCGTTGAAATTCAGCGCGAAAACTGAATCTCCGTTGCTGAAGGCGCGAAGCGGGCGGCTGGCGGTTGCGGTCACTTCCGGGCTGTATTGGGGGTGCAGCCGGTCCAAGGGTGACCTCAACCTTCTGCCCATCAGCAGTTCGGCCGGGCTCTTGTGGGTGGTGGCATGCGGCGTGATGTTCTGGGTGAGGAGGAAGTTGTCTATCCGTTCTTGCCAGTCTCCCGGGCCCATCTTGGTGAGTGCCTCTTTGGTGAGCCTCACCATGCGTTCAGCTTGTCCGTTTCCGGCCGGCCTGTATGGGGCGGACAGGGCGTGGCGGATGCCCAGTCCTGCCAGGAAGGACTCCATGGCCAGGGATGTGAGCTGGGGGCCGTTGTCGGAGACCAGCACATCCGGTAGTCCATGTGTGGCGAACAGACGGCGCAGGGCTCGGATCGTCGCTTCTGTTGTGGTAGATGCCATGGGTACCACCTCGAGCCACTTGGAGAAGGTATCTACCACGATGAGGAGGTGTCGCCCTTGCATCGGACCCGCGAAGTCGATGTGGATCCTCGACCAGGGGTTGCTGGGGGTCTCCCACTTCGCGACTTCGGATTGCAGCGGCGCTGGGCGAACTTCTTGGCACGGGTCACATCTGGAGACCCATTGTTCAATGTCTCTGTCCAGGGAGGGCCACCAGACGTAACTCCGTGCCAGGGCCTTCATGCGGACGATGCCCGGATGCCCTTTGTGCAAAGTCTCTAAGGTCCACCGTTGCAGAGTGCTTGGAATCAGCACCCTGTCTCCCCATAGAAGACAGCCCTTTATGGTGGACAGCTCCTTCTGCTTCCTGGCGAACGGGCTGAACCTTTCTTCCGTCTTTTCCGATGGCCACTCTCTGAGGATCCAGGACTTCACTTGGCGGAGTGTGGGGTCCTTTTGGGTGTGGACGGCCACATCTGCGGATGAGACTGGACAGCTGGCGTCGTCGTCTATGTGGAATAGGTGGAGCGTGGGGGCTGGGTCTTCGACTGGATTCTTCGATGGGCATCTGCTGAGCGCGTCGGCATTTCCTATGGCTGTGCCTGGCTGGTGCATGAGCCTATAGGAGTAGCCGGCTAGGAAGATGGCCCATCTCGTCATCCGCGGGGACATGAAGGTCGGGGTGGGTTGGTCACCTGCGAGGAGTCCCAGGAGTGGCTTGTGGTCGGTGACTACGGTGAAGCGTCTTCCGTAGAGGTATTCGTGGAAGCGCTTCACTCCTGCCACGATGGCCAGGGCTTCTTTGTCCAGCTGGCTGTAGTTCCGTTCTGCGCCGGACATGGTCTTCGAGAAGTAAGCGATCGGGGCTTCCGAGCCGTTGGGCAGTTCGTGGCTGGGAACTGCCCCCACCCCGTAAGATGACGCATCACAGGTCAGCTTGATGGGGAGCGTCTCGCTGTATTGGATGAGGACGCTCTTGGACGTCAATAGTCCTTTGATGGCCCGGAATGCTGCTTCCTCTTCCTGGCCCCACTTCCAGGAAGCCGCTTTCCCCAGCAGGCGGTGGAGTGGCTCAGCAACTGTGGCTTTCTGTTTTAAGAAAATGGCGTAGAAGTTGAGCAACCCAAGGAAAGCCTGAAGCTCCGTTTTGTTTTTTGGGCTTGGAGCTTCATGGATTGCTTCCACTTTTGATTTGGTGGGGTGGATGCCAGTGCTATCAATGAGATAGCCCAGGAACTCGACTTCCTGTACTCCTATGGTGCACTTGTCCCGCCTGACCCTCAAGCCCTTGGCCTTGAACCGCTGCAGGACAAGCCTGAGCCATTCAAGGAGTTGAGCTCTTGAGTCACCTGAGACAAGCACATCGTCGAAGTAAGGCACCACCCCTGGAACGCCTTGGAGAAGGCGTTCCATCATGGATTGGAAAATGCCTGGGGCAGCGCTGACTCCAAATTGGAGGCGGTTACATTTGAATGCCCCCCTGTGCATGACAATTGTTTGTGCCTCCGCCGTTTTTTCATCCACTGGCAGTTGCTGGTAAGCCTGGGCCAGGTCCAGTTTCGCGAAAATTGAGCCCGTTCCCAGGGAATGCAACAGATGTTGCACGACTGGGACTGGGTATGCACTTTGTGCCAACGCCTTGTTGATGGTACAACGGTAGTCGGCGCAGATGCGCACAGACCCATCATGCTTCAGTGGGGTCACAATGGGGGTCTCCCATGAGGCATGATCGATTGGTTCCAGAACGCCCTGGGCGATCAGCTTATCCAGCTGTTCGTCTACTTTCGGCCGCAGGGCAAACGGAACTCGGTGGGGCTTAAGCCTGATTGGGGTGATTCCCTTGTCCAGATTAAAGGAAATTGGCCTCCCCACAAATTTCCCCAGCTTACCATCGAAGACTTCTTTGAACTCTTCGAGGATGGTGTCGAGTTCGTCCCTATGGATTTCGTGGATGCCCTCAATGGAGAGCCCGAGCGGCTTAAACCACTCCACTCCTAACAGGTTCGGTCGGCTGTTCTCCACGATGGTGATGGGCAGCTCTCCGTTAAAGTCCTTGTATTTGATGTGGATGGTGGTTCTGCCCAGGATCCAAATGGGGTTTCCGTTGAAGTCCACAAGCCTTGACTTCAGGGTTTTCAGCTGGGTCTTCTTGCAGGATGGCTTCAGCTGCTGTAGGTGCTGCCAGTCCATGATGGAGTAGCGGATCCGGAGTCTACCTCCATCTTGCACGGTGACCCCTCTGCCAGCAGCATCACGTGGAACTTGGTGGTCCCCTCGTCGCTTGTGTGAGCGATGGTTGTCTGGTGCACCGTTCTGTTGCGGGGATATTCCTCCTCCCCGTGCCGGGACTGGATCGAGGACCGTTTGGATGTCCTCTGGTTATCTTTGCGATTCTCGCGGAATCGTGGTCTGGGTGGTTCCGGGGCTGGATCTGCTGCTCTGCAGGCCTCGGCGATGTGCCCCCTCTTCAGGCATCGGCGGCAGGTCACGTCCCTCCATCTGCAGGTTGCCCTGGGGTGGTCGCCTTTGCAACTGCCGCATCGTTCTCCCCAGTCGCCATGCTGTGGGTTTTCCCGCCTGGGGGTGGGCGGGAAACCTTGTAGACGGCCATTTCCTCCTCAGACTCCGTTTGTGTGGTTGAGTCATCTGAGGAGCTCAGGCCCGACTTGTAGATCTTGTGGATCCCTCTTGCTTTAACCATCGCGGCGGCTGCTTTCTCAGATGTTTCAGCCGCTGTTGCTTCATCGAGGACGTCTTTGAGTGGTATCCTCTTTCGGCTGAGGAACTTCTTCTGCAGTCCCACATCTCGCATTCCAAAGACAACGCGGTCACGGATGGCATTGTCCACGTTGTCGAACTCGCAGTTGGCAGCGATTTGGCGAAGCGCTGCCACGAATTCCTTGATGGATTCACCTTCCCGCTGGTTTCTCTGCTGGAAGGTGAACCTGTTTATGATTGGGGTGCCTGTGGGTGCATAGTGCTCCTGCAAGGCTTCTTGCAAGTCGTTCCAGGACATCTCCTCAATGTCCCTGGGTGCCACGAGGTCAATCGCCATCTCCAGGACGTCCGATCCGCAGTGAGCCAGGAAAAGGGCTCTTTTCCGCTCATCGTCGAGGTTCTGGTAGCCATTGCCTCGCAGGAACTGCCGGAATTGGACCATGTACGACCTCCACTTCTCTCGGGATGGATCGAATGGGTTCAGTGCGGCCATCGGAGCTTGCGGGGTTGCCATTCTGGAAGTCGCTGTGGTTTAGTGACTTCAGCTCGGTGGGCGATCGTGCCACGAGTCTTGCTCAGGTTCTCTTCTCTAGTCCTTCGGCGCCAGTGTTAGATCAGGCGCAGGAAATGAAGACGTGACCAGCTCGATACATTAAGTAACTTTATTAGCTACAAAGTATAAGACAAGACTGCTGGCGCGCTGCCGGAGCTCTCCTTATATTCGCTCCCGGCAGACGCACCGCCCCTTGACAGGGATTCAAATCTCCCGCCCGATGGCTAGCAGCCAATCAGGGCGGATGTCCTTATAAGGACATAACACATACAGTCATAAGTGGAAGGAGATGGGTGGTGGGAATGATGAGAAGATTAATAGTAGTGCAGCCTTAGTGAATAGTTTGACAGTGTTGAGGGAATTATTTGTTTAGCAGAGTGATGGCGTTCGGGAAAAAACTGTCCTTGTGTCTAGTTGTTCTGGTGTGCAGGTAAAAAACGCAAGTAGAAAAATAGAGACCACCTTTGGTGGGAAGGGAACAGCGTTCCGTGCGCCTTTGGCATTGAGTCTTGCCGGCCACATGACCACGGAGACGTCTTCGGACAGCACTGGCTCTTCGGCTTTGAAACAGAGATGAGTACCCGCCTCCTAGAGTCGGGAACGACTAACACATATGTGCGAGGGGAACCTTTACCTTTATTCCTGAAAAAAAAAACCAGCCAACCACATGTCAGTGAGTTTGTCCAGCCTGATACATTGGCACTGAGAAAAAGTGACTTATGACCGTTTTTCACACTTACGACCATTGCAGCATCCCTATGGTCACGCGATCAAAATTCAGACACTGGACAACTGACTCATACTTATGACGGTTGCAGTGCCTCGGGGTCACGTGATCCCATTTTACAACCTTCTGACATGCAAAGTCACTGGAGAAGCCAGATTGACTTAACAACTGTGCTACTCACTTAACAACTGCAGTGTTTCACTTAACAATTGTGGCAACAAAAGGTTGGAAAATGGGGCAAAATTCACTTAACAAGTCTCTCACTTAGCAACAGAAATTTTGTGTTCCATTGTGGTCGTAAGTCGAGGACTACCTGTATAGACATTCAGAAAGAAGCACCCTAAAATTGTTTTCTGATTGTTTTTTTTTAATTTTGATGAGTGTGGAAAAAGCAATAAATCAGGAAGTGGCAATGAATGAAGGCAAAGGCACATGGTATCCCAGGATAATGTTGCAGGATCTAATCTGGGTCGGTCACCAGGACCAAAGATTTGAGCTTTCGGATTCGTGCTGGAGCCCGTCCTCAAGGCACTTCTCTCTGTGTGCTTTGGGCTGTTCTCTGTGTGGTATGTATGTATATATGTATGTTTTCTATTTAGAATAGAATAAAATAGAATAACAGAGTTGGAAGGGACCTTGCAGGTCTTCTAGTCCAACCCCCTGCTTAGGGAGGAAACCCTACACCACTTCAGACATATGGCAGTCCAGTCTCATTTTGAAAGTCTCAAGTGATGAAGCTCCCACCACTTCTGAAGGCAACTTCTGTTCCACTGGTTGATTGTTCTCACTGTCAGGAAATTCCTCCTTATTTCCAGGTTGAATCTCTCCTTGTTCAGTTTCCATCCATTATTCCTTGTCTGGCCTTCAGGTGCTTTGGAGAATAGCTTGACCCCCTCCTCTCTGTGGCAGCCCCTCAAATATTGGAAGGCTGCTCTCCTGTCTCCCCTGGTCCTTCTCTTCACTAGACTAGCCAGGCCCAGTTCCTGCAACCGTTCTTCATATGTTTTAGCCTCCAGTCTTCTTATCACCCTGATTGCTCTTCTCTGCACTCTTTCCAGAGTCTCAAAATCTTTTTTATACACTGCTCAATAAAATAAAGGGAACACAAGCAGAAGACATCCGAGATCTGAATGAATGAAATAGTCTTATTAAATATTTTAATCATCTTTTCTGCACTGTTTCTAGAGTCTCAAGTTCAACATCTTTTTTACATCGTGTGCGACCATGTTTTTTATTTGTTTGTTTGTTTGTTTGTTTGTTTGTTTATATGTTTTATTTATACACTTTTCTTTGGTATACATAAAAACTCAATATTCACATTGACAGTGTGCTGTCTGGGTACAATTGATTTTGAGTAATGATAACAAAAATCTTCATGCTGCTATTTATAACGATTTTCATCATAACATATTAATAATAATAATACTTATCCTTAATTATTCACTTTACATTATTTAATTAACCATTCTTTTCAATTTTAAGTTTCTAACTTCTGCTTCTATTTTCTAGCCATTGATAAAATGTCCCCCGTATTAAAAAGTATTCCGTTTCCTCTTTATCCTTAATTTTCATTGTTCATCTACCCATCTCGGCACATTCTAATATTTTTTTATTACACTTTCCTCTGTAGGAATATCTTCATTTTTCCAATTTTGTG